AGCTGCAGCCGCTGCAGCCCCAGGCTGAACTTCATCTCCTCCTGGCGCCGGTGGAAGCTGAGGGGCAGATGTCGGTCCTGGGGCAGAGCAGAGTGGGGTTGAGGGGGCCCAGGAGCCAGCCCAGCACCTCAGGGTGCCCAGGACGGGGACAGGACTACCCACCCTCTTTATCACGGCGGTCTTCTCACCCTCCAGGATGGCTCTCAGGACGGCTACCAGTCGCAGTGGGTCCTGCTGGTAGATTTTCTGCGGGGAGCCAATGCAGGGTGTCAGTGGGGCAGGAAACAGACCCCAGCCCTGGCCCCCTCCTACCCCATCCTGCCTTGCAGGACCCTGTCCCACAGTGAAAGGGGCTAAGTCAGACTCTGGGGTCTCATGACCCGAAGCACAGGACAGATCACAACTCACTGCTGCTCTGACAGAGCTAATTTACAGCTTTAAAACCACTTTGTGCATAATACATGAATCAGCTTCAAATAATAATAAAAAAAACCTAAAGAAAATTTTCTATTTCTACAAGCATCTCCTTGAGACCCTGACACCCATAGAAGATCCTTCCAGCTGCCCTGGCCTGGGTGGATCAATGCTTTCCTCTGAAAGCAGGGAGAGGAATGTCCCTGGGGGCTCCTGCTACCTATGCCAGCTCTAACAGCCTTCACGCATTTCCCAAATTACCTACTTCCCAAAACACCAGCAGAGCACCAGGTTGAACTGCTCATGGTGTGCTCAGTGGCTTCCTGAGTTGGCTGGGGGGGCAGCTTCATGAACAATGCCCCAGACCCCTGGCACTGGCCCCATGTCTGGCCCTGGCAGCCCCTCACCACTCTGGGGTGCAGGGGACAAAGGCCCAGGTCCAGTCTCCCACCAGCCAGTTTCCTACCCCATTCCCCCCAGTCACCTCCCTGGTTCCAGGTTTAGTCATCCCATGGGAGAGTCCCCAGCTCCCACCACTTCCCTCCCCTTTGTGAGAGCAGCCCCTGACCCCAAAAGGGTTGGAGAGAAACAAGGGTTTTGCTGTTAGGGGATGAGGGAACAAGGGAGGGCAGCTCTTCTTGAGCGTTTTAAATTAAGAAACTAAGCTGAAACATCTGTGCATTTTCCTACAATTTCAAAAACCAAGCGACAGCCTCGTTTTGGAAAGTTCCCCAGAAATTATGACTAAAGCTGACCCCTTCCCAAATGTTGTACATTAAAAATGTCTGTTACCAAAAAAGCAGGGCTTTCAACCAGAACAGGGCTCTGGGAGCGAGCACCACTCAGCCCTTATGCTAAGAGCTTCACTGGCAGGAGAGAGAGTACAGGGGTTAAATCTGCAATCATAGAGGGTGGAAGAGAGACAGAGCAATTCAAACAGACCTTGGTAAGGAGAAACAGCCCAGAAAAGAAACCCATGCACACACTGCAGGAGGAAACGCAGCACAACACACGACACCGAGGAGGAAGAAATCAAACGCTTAAGCAGAAAATGGGGAACATCTGGTGAAGAGTCTCCTGGGTGCTGGCAGCTGGGGCCACAGGGGCCAAGGCCTTCGAGAAGCTCCCCACGGGGTCAAGGTCCAGCACAGGACCAGGAGGACACAGCCACAGGGGACAGCCCAGCACCAAAGGCATTGCAGAAGGTGGCAGCAATTGCAGAAGGAAGCTGGAGACTCTGGTGGGTGATGGGGTGAAGAGGTGAGGGGAACTTTCATCAACATTGTGAGAGCCTGAGGACTGTGGTGACCTGGGGCTCAGCCCCAGGATGCAAACAACCCCCTTCTGGTCCCCTGAAGAGCCCTAAAGACCCCAGTTGCTGAGTCCGCACAAGCTCGTTGCTCGTGGAAAGGTGCTGGCCTTGACACAAGTGTCAAAGGGCAACCAGTCTGCAGCATCAGCCCCTTTGAGTAGTGCTTGAACACATGAACCTGAAGCATAATCAAATCTTCCTTGGCAGCCAACCATGATCCCTGTGTGACATGTCCCCAGGGGTCCCTGTGCCCGGCCCCGCACACCTCGATGCCGCTGACTTGCTGCAGGATCTGGCACTGCTGCCCCTCGCCACCGGCAGCGCTGCGCAGCTTCTCCAGCATGGCTGAGAGCATCCTGCTGGCCACATTGGTGCAGAAGGTGTCAGAGCCATTGATGAACTCCCTGGAGAGGGGAAAGGGGTGGGTAGGCGGCCACAAATCTTCCTCCCTCTCCTGTGCAACCCTGAGCCCCATGCTCACATCAGGGAGGAAGGGGACATGCATGTTCCTGCTGTCCTGGTGCAATGCCCAGTGCTGGTGGGGTTTCTAGGGGCTGGGACAGGGGAGAGCCTGTGAGCACCAGGGCACTCACCAGGGCTGGTTCTCCAGCCAGTCAGCCAGAAGACAGCGCAGGCTGCGGGGAAACTCAGCAAAGAGGCCACTGAACTGCTCTGGCGGCATGTGGGAGACGATGCTCCAGAGGGACATCTTGGAAAAGGCACCTGCAGAGAAACAAGGAGAAGGGATGTGAGCCATGCAGCTTGGGTGGCTGACAGCTCTTCCGGGATGTTGGGCAAGAGCTGCCACCTCTCCCTCTGCTGTCTGAACCTCCTGGTTGGCAGGTCCAGGGCTGCTGGGGAGGTAGAGCATGGAGCTGGATCCAGGTTCAGCCTGTTGGGTAATATGGGGCAGGCAGGCAGCCCACTCGTGCCTCAGTTTCCCACACTGCTGGGGAATCCCTGCACCTCCTGCCATGGGCAACATACAAAGATGTGCAAAGGAAAAGGCAAGCGCTGCCAGTCTTGGCACAGGACGGATGGGAGAGTTGCTGGGAGCAGGAGGAGTGTGAAACCCCCAGAGCTCTGCCAGGGTGGTCTCAGTGATGCAACCTGGCTGCTCCCCTAAACCCTCCCTGCTGCTCCCACAGAAGCTACCTTTCTCAGGCATGTCCCCAGAAATGAGGGTCTCCACCGTTCATGGAAAGAGGAGGGTGGGAACAAGGTATGAGATGGGATATTTTACTCTGAGGACCTGGGCTGGGGGCTCATGGTCCAGACTGGACTGTGGGTTCCCTGGAAACTCCAGAGCTTGGCACCACAGCCCTGGGAGTCCCCTCTGCTCAGCCTCAGCTGTGCTCACACTGTCCCACCGCTCCTTCCCTTCCTCCCATCTGCCTGGGGATGGCTCCCTGTCCCCAAAGCAAACAGCCAAGTAGGGTATCACACTCCCCCCACACCTCGGCAGAGCTGCCAGAGATGTGGAGGAACCACGCGAGGGGAAGGAAGCCAACGTCACCAGGGCAACATCGCAAAGGGTGAAAAACACCAGCAGCACGGCCTGCGCAGCCAGCTGCCTGCAACACAGCCCCCAGGGGACTCTGCTTCACCAGGAGCTGGACAGAGCCTGTGTCCCCTGGGGAGGAACAGCCAGACCCCAGGGCACACCAAGCCCGGTGCTTCCAGGATTACTTTTACTTTCAGCCCTGCTCAGCTGGCCAGAAAGCACACCCCAATGATTTACCACAGCACAGAGCCCAGCGGGTCGATGTGCGGTGGGAAACGCACCCAGCAGCAGCCAGCAGTGTTGCCCTGCTCTCCCCCAGCCCTGGCTGGATCATAGCTACAGGCATGGAGAGAATCCAGACAGGAGGGAAAAACAGCTTATCATTTTATGATCTTCAAGATGTAATCCCCATTCTCCTCCCACCATTAAAACCTGTATTTCTGCTTAGCCCTGGGTGGCAGCTGCTGGTTGGTGAGCAGCAACCTGGAACATAAGCTAGGCATGCCTGAATGTGCTGAGTCTACAGGAGATGCTGCAGCACTCCTCAGCTCCCAGCTCTGCACCAGACAGGGAACGATGGATCAAAGGAAAGGACAGGCCCATCCCCTCCTGGCATCACTCATAGCAGCTCCTTCAGTCCAGTCATTTCCTTCCAGTCCTCATTTCCATGTTTTCCTGCTCTGCTGCTTCTGCACAATGGCCTTTCCCTGTAAAGACCCAGCTCCTGTGACAATATCCCAGCTGGGGCTGTGCTGCACAGAGGTTTCCTTAAGAGGAGATCCTGTGCCCAGTCCTGGCTTCCTGCACCATCGTAGGATCAGGCCAAGCAGGGTTTGCTCCACTAGCACCACTGCAGCCACGAGGAGAGGGAACCTGGCAGGAGGTAGGGACAACGATCCAGGCTGGGCAAAGGAGCTGACCCTCCAGCTGGGACCCTTGCCCCAGGGGGTGTGCCTGGCAAAAGCAGCTTCCAGCCCCACATCTTGGCGGTGCTGGGGGAAGCATGGCTCACAGCTCCACACCGCCCAGCACAATGCACCTTTACCAACCACGGACAGGTCCCTCCATCCACAGCTGCCACAGGGGTTCTACTGCCAAGCAGGCACCCTAGAACACGGATTCCCGGGGCAGCAAGCGCTGCAGTCCCCTCACCCGGCACAGGATGGCAGCGGGGAGGCGAGACGCGGCCGGGGAAGCTGAGACTGGAGGCCTAAGAGGCAGCGGGTCCGGGAGCTGCCAATGAGGGTCTCCACCGTTCATGGAAAGAGGAGGGTGGGAACAAGGTATGAGATGGGATATTTTACTCTGAGGACCTGGGCTGGGGGCTCATGGTCCAGACTGGACTGTGGGTTCCCTGGAAACTCCAGAGCTTGGCACCACAGCCCTGGGAGTCCCCTCTGCTCAGCCTCAGCTGTGCTCACACTGTCCCACCGCTCCTTCCCTTCCTCCCATCTGCCTGGGGATGGCTCCCTGTCCCCAAAGCAAACAGCCAAGTAGGGTATCACACTCCCCCCACACCTCGGCAGAGCTGCCAGAGATGTGGAGGAACCACGCGAGGGGAAGGAAGCCAACGTCACCAGGGCAACATCGCAAAGGGTGAAAAACACCAGCAGCACGGCCTGCGCAGCCAGCTGCCTGCAACACAGCCCCCAGGGGACTCTGCTTCACCAGGAGCTGGACAGAGCCTGTGTCCCCTGGGGAGGAACAGCCAGACCCCAGGGCACACCAAGCCCGGTGCTTCCAGGATTACTTTTACTTTCAGCCCTGCTCAGCTGGCCAGAAAGCACACCCCAATGATTTACCACAGCACAGAGCCCAGCGGGTCGATGTGCGGTGGGAAACGCACCCAGCAGCAGCCAGCAGTGTTGCCCTGCTCTCCCCCAGCCCTGGCTGGATCATAGCTACAGGCATGGAGAGAATCCAGACAGGAGGGAAAAACAGCTTATCATTTTATGATCTTCAAGATGTAATCCCCATTCTCCTCCCACCATTAAAACCTGTATTTCTGCTTAGCCCTGGGTGGCAGCTGCTGGTTGGTGAGCAGCAACCTGGAACATAAGCTAGGCATGCCTGAATGTGCTGAGTCTACAGGAGATGCTGCAGCACTCCTCAGCTCCCAGCTCTGCACCAGACAGGGAACGATGGATCAAAGGAAAGGACAGGCCCATCCCCTCCTGGCATCACTCATAGCAGCTCCTTCAGTCCAGTCATTTCCTTCCAGTCCTCATTTCCATGTTTTCCTGCTCTGCTGCTTCTGCACAATGGCCTTTCCCTGTAAAGACCCAGCTCCTGTGACAATATCCCAGCTGGGGCTGTGCTGCACAGAGGTTTCCTTAAGAGGAGATCCTGTGCCCAGTCCTGGCTTCCTGCACCATCGTAGGATCAGGCCAAGCAGGGTTTGCTCCACTAGCACCACTGCAGCCACGAGGAGAGGGAACCTGGCAGGAGGTAGGGACAACGATCCAGGCTGGGCAAAGGAGCTGACCCTCCAGCTGGGACCCTTGCCCCAGGGGGTGTGCCTGGCAAAAGCAGCTTCCAGCCCCACATCTTGGCGGTGCTGGGGGAAGCATGGCTCACAGCTCCACACCGCCCAGCACAATGCACCTTTACCAACCACGGACAGGTCCCTCCATCCACAGCTGCCACAGGGGTTCTACTGCCAAGCAGGCACCCTAGAACACGGATTCCCGGGGCAGCAAGCGCTGCAGTCCCCTCACCCGGCACAGGATGGCAGCGGGGAGGCGAGACGCGGCCGGGGAAGCTGAGACTGGAGGCCTAAGAGGCAGCGGGTCCGGGAGCTGCCGCCCGGGGAAGCCCCGCGGCTGGCAGGCTGGCAGGGCCTCCAGCGCGATGACAGGGCAGGATATGGTGCCCGGGAGGGGCAGCAGCTGCCTGAGGGGTGCCCTGTACCCTCTTCCCAATCCCCTCCACTGCAGCCTCTGTCACTTCCTCCTCCACCCGAGGGGCCACTTTGCCTCCTCGGTTGGGCCAGGGGTCCCTCGGGCCAGCGGGAGCCCAAACATCTGAGAGACACTGGGACCCCCAAGCTCCCAGAACGGGCTTTCTGCTTACTCATCGGGAACCGGGAAACCAACTCCACATCCCAGAAACGAGAGCTGCCGAACCTCTCACGCTGTTACTCATTAACCACCAGCACTTCCTGGCGGCAGACTGCAGCCCCCCACCCTCACAGCCACCTCTCCCCCCGTACCCAGGGGGCCGGGACCGCTAGGGACCCCACTTCTTGTCAGCCCCCCCCTTCTCTTGGCCATTTTCTAGCCCAGTGCCAGAGGCTGGTGGGAGAATGAGTGGGGGCTGGCAGCTCGTGGGCATGCACATCCCCCCACCTTCTACACCTTCCTTATTCTCCAAGGTGCCAAGCAGATATTTCCCTGTGGCTTTCTCAGGGACAGAGGTTTTCCGTACTTGACACTCAGGACACCTGGGCTCTGCTTTAGCTTTGCTCCTGTGGGGACAGAGCCCCTCACCTTCCTTATTCTCCAAGGTGCCAAGCAGATATTTCCCTGTGGCTTTCTCAGGGACAGAGGTTTTCCGTACTTGACACTCAGGACACCTGGGCTCTGCTTTAGCTTTGCTCCTGTGGGGACAGAGCCCCTAAGACCTCTCTGCCTCTTGACATGCCTCAGGCCCCTGCCGCCCTCCGGCAGTGAAAGCTCTTCTTTAAGAGCAGCAGGGCCTTCCCCAGCTGACCCAGCCCCAGCGTGACTCATGGCCCGGGGAATCTACGCTGGATACAGCCCCCAGCTCGCCTAGGAGCTCGCGGCGGTGGGGTCTCATCTGCGGGGACCAGGGTGTCCAGCACTCCCCACCACAAGCCCTGCTGGGCCCTTTCACTTTGCCCCCTG